TGCGGGGCGCGGCTGCCGGGCATGCGCCGCCTGGGGCTTCTTGTTCTTTTTCAATCCTCACCCGAGGATATTTTCCCATTGATTTTTATTTTATTTTATTTTTTAGAAAAGCGGTATCAGTCGTGTTGCCTTTATTATTATTTTAAATATATTTTTATTGATTTCAGAGAGGAAGGGAGAGGGAGAGAGAGAAACATCAATGATGAGGGAGAATCATGGATCAGCTGTCTGCATGCCCCACCCTGGAATCGAGCCCGCAACCCTGGCAGGTGCCCGTGACCGGGAATAGAACCCAGGACCCTCCAGACCGCAGGCCAACGCTCTATCCACTGAGCAACACCGGCCAGGGCTCCCGAGGCACCTTCTCACAGGTGCAGTCTCTCCCCCACAGACCTTCAAGCACAGCTTCCCAGAGCAGCCCGGGGTTCCCCGCTGCTTCTTTCTCAGGCAATTCCTTCCGGCCCTACCTGCCCCAGCCCGTCTGCAAGGGGTACGTAGGCGAGGCGGCTGGGACACGTGACCCCAGCGTGTAAGCTCCCACCTGGCACACAGCAGAGGCTGATGGGAGAGGAGGCTGCTCTTTGCTGTGACAGGGGAGGTTACTAGCGGTCAGACCTCTCCCCCACTCCCCCTCCTCGCCCAGCCCCCCCCACAGCCTGGAGGGGGGCTCCCCTGCAGGACAGCTCCAGGGCCCACCCTGTGACTGTGGTTTGGGAGCCGGCCCTCCGGGCCTTCTCCCTCCCCCTGCGCCGCATCGCCGCCATTCCTCCGGACCCATGTTCCCTTGTGCAGACGGACCCTTGATTCTGCAGGTTAACCGCTGTAGGAGTTCAGAACGAGTCAGCCCAAGGCGCGGGTTGTTCTGAGTTAAAGGCAACCAAGACTGCAGGCTCAAGAGAACACCTCCACCACCACTCTCAGCAACAGAGAGGAATTTGAAGTAGGGGACCTCCCACAAGAAGAGGTTATCAGCGACAACCCTTTTCACCCATCCATAGGGCAAGGCAACTGCTAATTTCCCAGACATCCCTTATCGCCCTGCAGTGACCCGTGGAAGTCCCCAAGCTGTCTTACCTTGTCCCCGGCTCAAAGTGTCTATACACCACACTTCCACTTTCTGAACCTCTCATGTATGTGGTCTCTGACTCTCATGTATATGGGGTTCCCATACATAAGTAATTAATTGGTCATTTTCTCCCCCTAATCTGTCTCATGTCTGTTTGATTATTACACCAGCCAAAAGAAACTTGAGGGTAGAGGAAAGTTTCTCCTCCCTCACACCTGCAATGACCACTATAGACATCCCAACAGTTGCATTTATTGAGCTACTACTATGGACATTATCCAATTTGATCCTCACAAAATCCTTATAAGGCAGGAATTACAATCTCTCTTTAGAGATAAAGAAACTGAAGCATAGGTGCTGGGCTGGTGTGGCTCAGTGGTTGAGCCACTGACCTATGAACCAGGAAATCACTGTTGGATTCCTGGTCAGGGCACATGCCTGGGTTGAGGGCTGGATCCCCAGTAGGGGGTGTGCAGAAGGCAGCCGATCAATGATTCTCTCTCGTCACTGATGTTTCTCTCCCTCTCCCTCTCTGAAATCAATAAAAATATATTTAAAAAGAAACTCAATCATAGGGTTAAGCAATGTACCCAAGGGGGCATGTCTAGTTGGTAGCAGAGCAGGGCTTGAACCCTAAAGTACTTGGGTACTTCTATGGGGCCTCTCAGAATCCTATTCCCAAACAACCGTTTCCCTCCACTCTCTAGACAGGCTCTTCATTCTCTCAAGATAACCTTGGGAAAGGAATTGGACTTTGGAACTGATCCAGTTCCACTTCCATCACCCCAGGTCCCGCATCCACCATGCCTGCCTTGCCCGCTGTGACCCTCTCTCATCTTTGGACGAAATGGTTTTAGTGTGTTTGTCAATGGAAGGCCCCTCTGCTGGCCACTTGGAGAAATGCGCCCAGGACGGAATGAAGAGTGGATGGAGGAGCCTGGGAGTCCACTCCTGCCCCAGGCCAGCGGGGAAGTGGGGCATAGGCACCTGAGACCAGGTAGTGCAGGTGTAGCTACTAGTCAGAGTCCCTGCTGTTGCTTTTTAAAGAATTGATATTGTTTTAAAATTATAAGACTATAACGCATATAACAAAATCAAGCAATATCGAAGTATATTTTTAAAGTGTAATATTTATCTTTCCATCTCTCCCCTACTATATAGTGCCATTTTCTTTCTTTTAATTTTTAAAGGATTTTTAAATTGATTTTTAGAGATGTCCCCTACTGGAAATCAGACCGGCAACCCCTCTGTACCCAGGACGACACGCAACCAACTGAACCACGCCGGCCAGGGCTAGTGCAATTTTCTTCTTAAATAAGAAGTGAGGATCTGTGTGTGTGTGTGGGGGGGGGCTTGAGAGGTGAATGGGGGAACAAAGGGGACATATATAATACTTTCAACAATAAAGATTTTTTTAAAAAAGAAGTGAGGCGTCCTCCCAAGCTGCAGAATGCCAAGGTTCTCTGCCCGTCCCTTTCCATGGGAGCCCACCCACTTCTCTCCTCCCAGGCTCAGCTTGTTGCCTTCCTTCCCTAGAATTTGAATTCCCACCAAACCCTTTGTCTGTATCCTGTGCTTGGAAACAGCTTCCAACCAGGTGTCCCCCCAGCTTTGCTCTGGAACTTGCTCCCTCCTCCTAGTACAGGGCTGGAGGCCAGAAGGGCAGAAAGGCCCTTGCTGATGGTTAAAATGCCTTCTTCCCCTTGGTCTCTTCTGCTCTGTGACCTCTGCCTCCACTCAGCAGTCCACCTCCCTGTGGACACACCCTGGGCTCCATTTAAAAATGTCGCCTTTCTGACCACAGCCTTCCCCTCTGCCCTCCAGCCTTCCGAAGCCTTGCTGGAGCCTTCAGGGATGACTCCAGCTACCACCTTCCCGTCTCAAAGGCCTCCTATCCAGACTGGATCCCTTGACCCTTTTCCAGCAGCTCTAATTACCCTGTTCCTTGGCCCCAGGTAATCCATGTCCTGTCAGGCCATGGCTGTGGGCCAACCAGCGGTCCATCTTCTGCTTTTGCTCCAGGGGAGCTGGAGGGCACATGCTTGGGTTGTGGGCTCAGTCCCCACATGGGGGGCCTGTGGGAGGCAGCTGATCACTGTTTCTCTAGAATCACTGATGTTTCTATCTCCCACTCCCTTCCTTTTTGAAATCAATAATAAAAATATATTAACAATTGAAAGCAAAAAAGTGATCAGATTTTTATACATGTATTTTTGTAAGTGTAATCATGTTTGACTCCCTTATATGTTTCATATTTCCATTTTTTAATTCTATATGGAGAATGAGGCACTAGTTTTTTAGGGATTAGAGCCCTTAAAACAGTGGTTCTCAACCTTGGCTGCACATTAGAATCACCTGGGAATCTTTTTAAAATCCTGATTTCTGGGCCTCATCCTCCGGAAATTGTTTCTTTCTTACTAATGTTGTGCCCTCACCCCATAACAAAGAAACAGAATTTCCGGAGGATGACGCCCAGGAGTCACGATTTTAAAGATTCCCAGGTGATTCCAATGTGCAGCCACGGCTGAGAACCACTGGCTTAAAAGCATCTGGTTTTGGTTAGGAAGAAGGTCTCTAATGACTTGCCTTTGGGGTCTCTTTTGAGACCTGTTCTATGCAGCCTCTTAGCCCACCAATTGCAGTTGTCAATCAAGTAGAACAAGGCAACATTTAATAGGAACATGAGGGCCTGCTGTTAGGTCCACAGTGACATCTAAATACATACACAGTGAAGGAACATGGATTGGGCAAGAGCAAAACGTGTGGGGGAAAACCCCATAAAAAACCCTTAGGGGTCCCGGGGGACAGTGCTTCACAGTGAATTGAGAACATGCTGTAACCACCAAAACCACAGGCCCGGAGGACGTGGGTTTGGGGAGGGAACCCCAGATCATATATGAGGAGACATAATAGAAACTGAGGCCACTACTTAGCCCAAAGAAGCCTCCATTGGCCTGGTGGTGGAATAGGAATTACTCAGTTAGTGCAGGATCCTAAAGCCTGGAAATGCAGTGGCTTTGCTTGTGGAAAAAATTTTTAAACTTTTGATTTTATAAAAGAAAGGAGAGAGTGATTTGTTGTTCCACTTATTCATGTGCTCATTGGCTGATTGGGTCACCTGGTGAGACAAGGGGTGGAGAGAAGGACGGAGCCAATGAGGTGGGCACGGCCTGCTATGCTTGCCGTCAGAGGGGACAGCAGCTGCCCACTGTGGGTCCTGAGAGCACCACCGGCCTGGATGGTGCTTCACAGTTCATGGTGTCGCCTTTCTGAGTGTCCTCCACCCGCCGTAGTTACCATCTCGGGAGGCAACAACTACCTTCCAAAATAAATCCAAGGCTAAATCTGCGCTAGGCTAATTCCATTTTCCTCAGTTGATAACGCAAACTGAATGAAGAAATTGGTGAAAATTTGAAAGTTAAAAAAGAAAAGAAAAAGATGGCAGTGGCTCCCAGGATATTCCAAAGCACTCAGTTTTAAACATGCGGATGGGTGCTGACCCCCCCTGGGGGGGAGATGCGTACATTTATCAGATCAAAACCAACCTGGTCAGCCTCCCCTTGGCCCCATGCCGTGCGGTGGGGAGTGGGGCAGGCGCCGGCGCAAAAACAAAACAACAACAAAAAACAAAGCATTCAGTTCTATCTATCAGATCTATAGTTGGGATCCAGGTTGTGATAAGAAAATCTCTCAGAAAAATATTGCCCCTTTGGCTAACATCCCCAAAGCACCCGTTTAGTGATTTAAACTAGTTGATATACAGCACTTAGAAAAATAAATACTACAAAAATTCTAATGGGAAAGCCTTTTAAGTTCATTTACAAAGTTCATTACCTTTCTTGCTGCTGTAGCAACAAAGATGAAGCCACTGGGGCCCCGGGATACC